CCTTCTTTGATGATTGAATCAACTGATTTTTCTTGTGAAACTTCTTTGTCTTGTCAATAAAAAGAAAGGCTGATTTTTGAATCGGGGCTGCTCCCCTGACGGGTCGCAGTCCCTCTAGGCCTCATTGATGGTACTTTGAGTGAATTCTTTCTCTTTTTTTCCATCTTGGTTACACAGAGGAAAGTGTAACAGCACCCAGAAGTAGACACTAGTTATTAAAATCCCAATAGTTTTTAATAATATGACATTTTTAATAATATGGTGTATTATTAAAAACTACTGAGATTTTTAATAATATGTTGTGTTACTAAAAACTACTGGGATTTTAATAATGTGTTGTAACATTTTTAATAATATGTTGTATTATTGAAAACTACTGGGATTTTAAAAACTAGTGTCTGCTTCAACAGTTGGGTGACAAGGTCTTCTCTATGCCACAAACAATATCAAATGTTATCATGTCCCATATAAACATTCTGAAGATTGATTATGTAATTTGTTGATTTCTATCTGGTTTTTCTCTCTGCTACCCATGGGACCATTTACTATTGACTACATATTTCTCAAAAGGAAGATCAAAATTATCTATAGAAAAAGGGTGTAGAGAAAGAGAGAGTAGAAACTAATGACTAAAATGACTAAGTTACTTGTAAAATTTGGTTTTTCCTATTCTTATCTCAATTTTTATAGCTAATTGAAGTTTGACTAATAAAATAATCAGTGTATTATTTGGCACAGTTTGCCAGCTTGATTAATATTCCCAAGTTAAAATTATTTATTTGATCATCATTAAGAGGCTATAGCACACCACACATTGTGCAGAATTCTGAGGATATTCTCCTTGCCTTTACAAAGTCTACAATATAATGAGAAGGCAAATATAGCATAAATAATTAAATGTAAAGAGTTCCAAGAAGGAACATTATTACCTCAAATGTGGATGTTGTTGATGCTTCAATAGGCGGCATCTGCAATCTATATCTTGAAAATGCATTGTAGAAAATGCAGTTAGCCAGTCCAAGAGGTCTTTGGCCTTTTGTTAATAGAGAAGCTGTAAGCATTCAGAATTCCATCTTCATTAAGTTTGCAACAGAAGGCTGCTATCAAAAAAAAGTTTCTAATTATTAGCGTCTTGGCATATATCTGCACCTTGCAAAGCACACTTAACAAAGCAACATTGTTGATTTATGCTAATCCTTTTCTATTTTCCTTCCAAGCTAAAAGATGTATAAGAAATTTTTGGTATTGGAAAACAAGTCTCTTGGTAAAACTATTTTACACATTTGACCTGCTCATGATTCTGTAAGCCTCTAACATGACAAAAAACTCACCATTTTTTCCATTCATCTGGTTAAATCACCCTCATGTAACCTTCCCCCCCTCATCTCACATTGTAGAAGAGGCAAACTTGTAGCTCTGAAGTTCAAATCCCTTCAAATGGGACAAGGTTTGAAAACAAAGTGTGACATATGTACTAATAAAGCAGTATATGTAAATTCTTTAATAAACATTCCAATAATTACTCTTTAATAAAGGAGGAATAATGTTTAGCTTATTGATGATAAAATGGCTAGATATTTGTCAGACCGACAGTCTCACCAGCTGCTGTGTTACAAATTTCATGTTTTGTTTGAAGATGTTGCCTTATCTCTCATATGAGAGGCTCACTGTATAGATATAGACATTATGCCACTAATGATGTCACAAGGTGGCATTACTAGAGAAATGATAATAGGTCCACATGATATGGTCATCCAGATAGCAATGTTTACTTTCCAAAAAAGTGAGTGGTTGATCTCATGATAGCTGTGATTCAGGACAAGAGATATATTCCGGTTGAATATTTCTAAGATTTTGGGCCCCCAAATTATCAAAAATTAGATTCAAACATACAAGAAGATGTTATAATGTTACTATATCAAACAATATACTAAAAGTGAGACGTGAGACAGAGGAAGAAGTATAGATAGTGAGAAAAGGATAGTAGACTAGTAAGAGTGAGAGGAAATTTTAAAAGAAAAGCAGAAACCATGATTGGATAATTTCCTTCTGATGTCACAATCACTACTTAACAATAAATGTAGAAATTAGAAAAGACCCACCAAGGTGAAGTGTAAAATAGAGGGAGGACCCGCTCCATGCCCTCCCATCAACACAGGGTGTGCCTACCACCATGCTAACATTCCTGTTGGAGCCTTGACACTGGTAAGTTATGTAACTTGGTCTTTAAACTAGATTTTGCTGCTAACCATTGCTCATTCCTTATCATTAACATATGTCTTCAGCCTGTTGACCATGATAGCTTTAGCTAGTAGTGCCGGGATCAGGTACTTTTCTCCCAACATGCTCGTCCTCTAGCTTTATTTACCACTGCAGTCCCTGTATTCCTTCAATATCATTTGTGAATTAATCCCTCTAGATTCTTAATCTCTCTCATGAGGTAGACACTTTTGTACCCCATCTTGTCTGATATGTATTTTTACTTGATATAACTTTCCCTGAAAACCAATTAAATAGACATTTTCTCTTCTTGCCTCTCCTTTCACTCATGAAGTCAGAGAGGAAAGACAGACCCTTTGCTCTGCCACCATTATTTTATTGTGCATTATCTTTTGAGCTCACTTCCCTGTGACTGTATCACTTGCTTCCTATTTTCATCATTGTCCCCAGTTGAGCATCAAGATATTCTCCTACCTTCTCCAGTGGTTATAATGGCTGCCTTGTAGATTTCGGGTCTACCTCATCCTTTGGCCCTTCACTCCTCATTTCATTTCACACCTCACATCCAAACCTTTAGTAAGGTCTGTTTTCTCTGCAATCAGAATTTATCTTGAATCCAGCTGCTCACCATTCTTCCAATCTTAGCAATAATCATCTTTTATCTAGACTTATTCAAAGTGTCTGAACTAGACTCTCTACCTTCACTTTCGCTCCGATACAGTCCACCTTTGGTTCAATAGAATGTTCTTCTTAAAGCAACAATCAGATCATGCTATTATTTAAAACCCTTCAAAGCTTTCCCTTTAAACTTAAAAACAAAATTCAGACTCATTATGGCTACCAAGCCCACATGATCCAGCTTTTGAATCTCACTTCCCTTCAAAGGAAGACCCCCAAAGAAATACATGCAAACCAAATACATAGAGACCAAGCAACTACCACATCAACAGAGGTCACCAGCATCACAAAGAACCAGCCAAGCCCAAAGAGATGGCTTGCAGTGCTATGCTGTCCTAATGATAGTATAACAAGTCCACATGTCTACAGATGAAGAAGGCATTGTTACACGGCAAATGATCAAGCAAGTCCCTCTTCTTTTTTAGTATTTTCCAGAGATCCCTGATAAGGCAAAATAGCAAGAAGGGAGTGTTCTACAATTTTTATAATTGAAGGCAATTATAGGAAAAATTAAAATTATTTAATATTTTTGCTTCAGTGAGTTGATACACTCTAATTAACTGGTTACTCTTCTTGATCAGCTAGAATAACCAAGGACAGTCTAGTTCATAACTGTAGGAGTATAATACCTATTCTGAAAGCCATATCCATAGCAAAGATCAACCCAATTATTTCCCTAAACTGCATTGCTAGTATTTGGAATCAGTGCTTATTCCCTGCTAAGTAAGTCTCAGACCACCCTGAAAAAGGTTGCAAGACATTTACCATCCCTTCTCACAACTACCACCTCTTTCACACAGAATGCCTTCTTTTGTTTAGGCCCAGACAAGCAAGGCTATTAGAAAATAAGTGAACAAGGTTTTCGAATGATAGGGTAATAGAGTTATTGCAGACTCTGGCTTGGTAACAGGGGGAAAAAGAACAAGAGAAGAACTTTACAAAGAGTAAAGATTCTTTACAAAGAGTAAAAGAATCAT